AAGGTAGAGGGAGGGAGCGGGAGAGAGAGAGAAACACCAATGATGAGAGAGAATCATTGATTGGCTGCCTTCTGCATGCCCCTCACTGGGGATCTTGCCCTCAACCTGTTATCTGCCCTTGACTGGAATTAAACCTGGAATCCTTCATTCCACAGCCTATGCTCTATCCACTGAGCCAAACCAGCTATGGGAGAGGCTTCCTTTATTCTAGCAGGAGAGAGAAATTACTCTTTCCTATATTTGAACTAGAGGCCCGGTACATTCATGCACCAGTGGGGTCCCTCAGCCTTACCTGTGGAGATCAGGCCGAAACTGGCTCTCCAATATCCCCCAAAGGGTCCTGGATTGCAAAAGGGCACAAGCCAGGCCAAAGGACCCCAGCAGTACACAATCAAGGCCTAGAAGAGACTGCAGGAGGGCTCCAGAGTGTGTCTGGCCATCTTGCCCAGTCCTGATCAGCCGGACCCCAGCAGCAAGCTAATCTACTAGTTGGATCATCTACCCACTGGTGGTCAGTGCACATCATAGCAATTGGTCTAACAGTCAAAAGAACAATCAGACAAGTAGCATATTGGGCTTTTATTCTATAGGATTCTCTCTGTGTTTAGTCTGAGAGGAACACCTTTGACTGCCACTGACCACTGAGTGGATTTGGGGCTGAGTGATGCGTAAAATCTCCACCAGAGCCCTCTGTACTAATGTAGATATCTTCTTCCTCCTTTCTAGTGGCATGAGGATATTTAAAGAGAGACTGCGTTTGCTACATCTTGGCAGCACTGAGCAAAGACATTTTTTTTTTTTTTAATGAAGGCTGCTTACTGTACTTTCCAGGGAATGGCCTCTTTATTTTATTTATTATTATTTAACATATTTTATTATTTTTTTAATAAAGGAAGGGAGAGAGATAGAGAGCTAGAAACGTCGATGAGAGAGAAACATCGACCAGCTGCCTTTTGCACACCCCCTACCGGGGATGTGCCCGCAACCAAGGTACATGCCCTTGACCAGAATCGAACCCGGGACCCTTCAGTCCCCAAGCCAATGCTCTATCCATTGAGCCAAACTAGCTTTGGCAAAGACATCATTTTATACTCTGTTACATTAAATGTATTTGTATGGGAATAGGGATGGCAGCAAGGTTCTGTTTCTGCCCTTTATTTTTTTTCTTTGTTGATTAAGGTATTACATATGTGTCCTTATCCCCCCACTGCCCTCCAACCCACCCCCCACTGCCCTTTATTTTTGATTATTTAATTGATTAATCATTTCATGATCTTTTAGTTTTCTTTCCCTATATTTTTTCTCAATTAATGGCATAATATGAGAAGCACTTTATATGTATATGAAACATGTGTTTTTTTAGTTAAAGAATTATACCCTGCTTTTGTGTGCAAAACAATAATCAAAGGAGAACTATATGAGAATATTTGCTTTGGGGCATAATTGGGAAATAAGATTTCGTTTTTTCCTTTCTGCTACTCCTTTTAAAGGAGATAGGAGAGTGGAGGGTAGGCTTGGGAACCAAAGATAATGTGTAGCTCTCTCTTTAAACCATGTCACTGCTAATTCATGGACACGAAATAGTTCTTAATAGATAAGGCTGCATGCCCTAACATATTATAGGCTCATCTTTGAATGTCTTATAGATGGAATTGGGTTGTCTAGCCTATATATTAATGTTTCTTTCATATCATAGTATATTGGACCATCATTCAATCTCTGTACCAGCATGGTAACAGCTACTTCATTCTTAGAACAACTTATAGTCGTACATTATTTTAATGTACGAATCAGTAATTACTATTCTTGTACCTATGTTTTTACTGAATTTTAAAATAAATTTCTAGAAATAAAATATCTCCAGAGAAAGGTATCTCAATCGTATCTTCAAAATTAGATTATGTAAGTATTTCATTTCTTACATGTTTCTAATGCAGAAAATGGAATTATTTTTTTAAACATTTAAAATATGCTAGGTAAGTAATCATGTACTTTTCAGGTGGCATTTTTAAAAGTTGTATTTCTTGCCGGAACTGGTTTGGCTCAATGGATAGAGCATCGGCCTGCGGACTGAAAGGTCCTGGGTTTGATTAAGGTCAAGGGCATATACCTTGGTTGTGGGTACATCCTCAGTAGGGGGTGTGCAGGAGGCAGCTGATCAATATTTCTCCTCGATGTTTCTAACTCTCTATCTCCCTTCCTCTCTGTAAAAAATCAATAAAATATATATATTTTTTAAAAAGTTGTATTTCTTAGTTTGACTTGAGGTTGATTATCTCTTTGTATATCTTTTTAAAAGTTATTTTGTGAATATCTTGTTTATGTTCTTTGAACCCTTTTCTACTGGGATGTGTGTCTTCTGCTTTCACTTTTTTCTATAATAAATATATTGTTTCTCTAATATATGTGTATATGCTTGTCTAATATATATACCAAATATTTTCTTACTTTGCTGTTCTCTTCTAAATTCGATTATGATGTTCTCACATTTTGTTACTGCACCTCTTCATCAATATAGTCTTCTACATTTAAAGATTAAAGACACAGAAACACATGCTTTATTCTATTGTTTATAGGTCTAGAATATTTATTTCATCTGTAATTGGTTTTCACACATGATAGGGATAAAACTTAAGATAGTTATCTGTATACAATTTCTTGAAAGGCCAATTCCTCAATTATTTGAAATGCAATATTTATTATACAGACATTTTCAAAAGTACATTTTAGTCTATTAATACAAATTTTGTTCAGTTTCACCAATATGTCTATTTTGGTATTGTTCCCACACTTTTACTAAGACAGATCCTCCTCATTTTTATTCTCTTCATAATTTTATTATTTCAGAAGAATTTATCATTCTTTACTGATAATCAAAAAAATTTTGTGAAATATGATTACATTTTTTAAATTTTTACACAATGATCTAGCTGATTTAAGCTTTTTCTTGGTTTATTCTGTGCACTTAATATTTTAAATTAGGTTATTCTAACGTGTTTTATTTACTTACACACATACACATATAAATGCTGCTAATGTGAGTACAGGTTTTCTATATCTTTATTTTTTATTTTGACATATTTCTGAAAGCCATGATATTTCTACATTGAACAGAAAACTTACATTAGTGTTTTTTTTTTTAATAATTCTTTATTGTTGAAAGTATTACATGTGTTCCCTTTTTTTCCTCCATTTACACCCTCTTGCCCAGCCCTGTTCCCCACTCTCACCCCAGGCCTTCAGAACCCTATGATCTGTGTCCATGGATTTTGCATATATGCATTCAAGGTCTTTGATTGATTAATTCCCACCCGCCCACCCTCCCCAGACTTCCCTCTGAGATTCTACACTGTTCCATGCTTCAAGTCTCTGGATCCATCAGTTTATTTTGTTACTTAGTTTCCAACATATGAGTGCGATGATGTAATACTTGGTTTTCTATGACTGATTTATTTCACTTGGCATGATACTCTCCAGGTTACTCCATGTTGTCTCAAAGGGTAAGAGTCTTCTTTTTTACTGCTGTATAGTATTCCATGGCATAAATGTGTCACATGTTTTTTTAATCTATTCATCTACTTATGGGCACTTGGGCTGTGTCCAGATCTTAGCTATTGTAAATTGTGCTGTATGAATATAGAGGTGCATACATTCTTTCTGATTACTGCTTCAGGATTCTTAGGATATATTCCTAGAAGTGAGATCACTGAGTCAAATGACAGTTCCATATTTAATTTTTGAGGAAATTCCATACTGTTTTTTCATAATGGTTGCACTGTCTGCATTCCCACCAGTGGTGTACCAGGGTTCCCTTTTCTCCACATCCTCGCCAGCACTTATCATTTGTTGATTTGTTGATGGTAGCCTTTCTGACAGGTGTGAGATGGTATCTCATTGTTATTTTGACTTGCATCACTCAGGTGATTAATGACTGAGCATTTTTTATATGTTTCTCAGCCATCTTTATGTCCTCTTGGACATACACAGTGATCCAGCTGATTTAAGCTTTTTCTTGGTTTATTCTGTGCACTTAATATTTTAAATTAGGTTATTTTTATGTCAATTTTAAGTGCACAGAATAAACCAAGAAAAAGTTTAAATCAGCTGGATCATTGTGTAAAAGGTCCTTTGCCCATTTTTTAATTGGATTGTTCATCTTCCTTTTGTTAAGTTGTTTGAATTCCTTATATATTTTGGATATTAATCCCTTTTTTAATATATTTTATTGATTTTTCACAGAGAAGAAGGAAGAGGGATAGAGAGCTAGAAACATCGATGAGAGAGATACATCGACCAGCTGCCTCCTGCACAACCCCTACTGGGGATGTGCCCGCAACCAATGTACATGCCTTTGACTGGAATCGAACCCGGGACCTTTCAGTCCACAGACCAACGCTCTACCGCTGAGCCAAACCAGTTTCGGTAGATTTGTACCTTTTGAATAATAAATAATAAATTCTTTTAACTTTTTGTTTGCAAGTCACTCTGATTGAAAATGTGACAAAACACTACTCAAAATACATAAAACTAAGTAAGTGTAAAAGTTCTGAGCCTGGGTTTATACAAGACAAAAACATTATATGCAGAAGCTGGAGTTGAGGACAGAAGAAATAAAACAAAAATCCCTGGGAAATAGCCACAATTATAGGATTAACTTCTAATTTTCAAGGTTTATGAAGCTGATGGGCCTCAAGTCAAGATCTCGTAGGGACAAAGGGACCCGGGTGACATCTAGGTTCCAGATGAAACTAATAGGAAATTGGCTAAGGTCTCTCTGGCAGGACGAGAGAAGAGCTGGAAGGAGAGATCTAGAAGGTCCAGAAGGGCACAGGGAAATGGGCTGGGTGGTGGGGGATGGGCATCCTCCTCCTCTTATTGTCCCTCCCCCACCCTCAGGAAGCTTTGTGACAAGGTCACAGCTCTGTGATGCAGCCTGGGATTCTGCCCCCTAGTGCACTGGCAGTGCTCAGTTGCCTGAGGGCAGCAGTGCGATTCAGATCATGGAGAACCTTCTCTGTCCTCTGAAAAGCGCCATTGCTACATGGCAGTGCTCCAGTCTTCGCTGGGTGATTGAGACCATCTTTGGCATCGTGTGTGGAGCACTGCTCTTCCTTGTGTTAGTCCTCTTATTGGAGAGAGATCAATCCTCACCACCACCTAGGGAACATAAAAACATCAAAAAGGTAAGGATTCCTTGCCCCAGACCCAACAGAGATTATCATTTTTCTTTTCTTATTCCCATTTTCTGAATCACCTGGAGACTCTTGAATTGGGAAAGAATAGAATGACAGTTCTCAGGAAAAAATAGGACTTTATCCCTCTAGGAACCAGCCAGGTGAGGCAGGGTTTAGAGCAGGCACAAGGATTTCTATGCAAAGATCTCTGACCAGGAGTCCAGGTATGGTGGGGCTCTAGAGCACAACCCCAAAGACAGTGACCAGTGGCCTCGGACTGGATTCTAATGGCTGGATCTCTGTAAGGGACAAGCCCTGGTTCACTTGATAACTTCCCATGGCAAGTGTCAGGTAAGCTTCTCCTCTGTAGAGACTGATCTGAGAGCAGTAATTTGAGGGAGAGGCTGAGAGGAGACTGTGGCCTTAGGAAGTCAAGTCCTACCTGAGAGAACTCAGATGGGCCTGCAGATCTGAGGATGTGTTTCTTGAGCAGAGAAACAGAGATGGAAGAAACCAATGGTGGGTCTCACTCAGAAGATTCTTTTTGGCTTTCTTCAAAGAAGAAAAAATATTTTATGCTTTAAAAGCAAGTAAAAAGGATTCTAGCCAGTGGAATGGTGGCAAAAGAGAGCCACTTAGCCTCTCATCCTGGAATTTCAACATCTTAACCAACTACAACTGAACAAAGAGTTTCCTGCTCAATTCAGAGGAATGCCTGAGAGACCTGCACATTGAAACATCTAAAGGTGAGCAACCAGGAATAAATGGGGAGATGAGAAGGGGCAGAAGGGCAGGCGGCCTGAAGAAGCAGCCCTGCAGCTGGGACCTCATGGCTCTGCCTGGAGAGGGGAGGAAGCCAGCAGTAGCAGACTCTACCTTCTGCCAGGAGGAACAGAGAACAGCAGGGAGCAATTCAGCAGGGTGAGTGGCTAGTGGAGCAAACAGTGGCTGAGCCAGCAGATGCCTGACAGAGCACAGGGTTCTGCTATGTGACTCTCCACTGTCAGGTCAGGCAGTGGTGGTTCAGACCTAAAGAAATGGAGCCACAAAGCTCTGCCAACCCTTGTAATCCCAAAATTTGCTTCCCATTGCCCTTGGGACAAGAAGCAAATTATCTGTAAACTAAGAACTATTTCAGTAGAACTGTTATTTCCTTGTGACTGACGATGCTCAGCTAGGGTGCTTGGAATGGAACCACACCAAGATCAGGAGTCGTGATTATGGTGAGGTCAAAACAAACCTCACCGCCAAGCAGCATGCCTGTGCTATCTTACCAAAGCTGTGAATGTCAACCCTGGGAAATCATAGTTTTAAGGTATTAGAAAGAGAAGAACGAAAGCAACCAGAAGTCAGCAGAAGAAGATAAACAATAAAAATTAGAGAAGAATGGAATGGAATAGAAAACAAAAAGGTTATACCAAAAAAATGATAAAAACAAAGAGCTGGTACTTTGAAAATATTGATAAAAATTGACAAACCTCTAGCTAGACTCACTAAAGAAAAATGGAAAAGACTCATATAAACAAAATCAGAAATGAGAGAGAAGTGGCCACAGACATAACAGATATACAAAGGATCAAACTAGAATATTATGAAAGACTACATGCCACCAAATTCAATAACCTACAATAAATAGATAAGTTCCTAGAAATGTATAAATGCTTTCCTAGACTAAATCATGAAGACTTGGAAAATCTCAATAGACTAATTAGCAGTGAGGAAATTGAAACAACCATCAAAAACCTTCCCAAAAATAAAAGTCCAAGATCAGATGATTCCACCAGCGAATTGTACCAAACATTCAAAGAAAATTTAAAACCTATCCTCAAACTTTTGAAAAAAAATTGAAGAAGAGGCATTACTTCCTAACATATTTTACGAGGCCAATATCGATATAACCCTGATACCAAAACCTGACAAAAATAATACAAAAAGAGTAAACTAAATATCAATACCTTTTATAAATACAGATGTAAAAATCCTAAACAAAATACTAGGAAACATAATACTACAATACATTAAAAAAAAAAAAAAAAAAAAAAAAAAAACATGATCAAGAATGGTTCATTCCAGGGACACAAGGATATTTCAGCATACAAAAATGAATCAACATAATATACCACATTAAGAAAAAGAAGGATAAAAATCACATGATCTTATTAATAGATGCAGAAAAAGCATTTGATAATTACACCATCCATTTATAATTAAAATGCTCAATAAAATATGAATAGAGGCCAGCTGGTGTGGTTCAGTGGTTGAGTGTCGACCTATGAACCAGGAGGTAATGGTTTGATGCCCAGTTGGGGCACATGCCTGGGTTGTGGGTTCTATCTCTAGTGTGAGGCATGCAGGAGGGAGCCGATCAATTATTCTCAATTATCATTGATGTTTCTATCTCTTTTCTTCCCTTCCTCTCTGAAATCAATAAAAAATTTTAATAGGAATAGAAGGAAAGTATATCAACATAATAAAGCCCATCTACATATGTAAAAGCCTAAGCAACCAATTGACTGCTTGACCACTCAACTGGTAGCTATGACATGCACTGACCACCAGGGGGCAGATGCTTGATGCAGGAGCTGCCCCCTGGAGGTCAGTGCGCTCCCCAGCAAGAGCACCACTCAGCCAGATGCCGGGCTCAGCTAATGAGTGCAGCTGTGGTGGTGTGAGCCTCTCCTGCCCCCAAAGTAGCACTAACAATCACCGGCCGTGGTGGCAGGCACAGCGTGGTGGGATGAGCAGGAGTGGCGTGGCACACAGCCGGGGCTTGGGCTCCTCCTTGGCCACCTGCCACTTTGCACACTACTACATCTCTCTGGGGATGTCAGACTGCCAGTTTTGGCTGAAACCGGCAGTCCAACATCCCCTGGATTGCAAGAGGGCACAGGCCAGGCTGAGAGATCCCACCAGTGCACAAATCCATGCTCCAGGCCTCTAGTATATAATAAACCCTCAGGTAATAAACACTCAATGGTGAAAAACTGAAAGCTTTTCCTCTAAGATCAGGAACAAGATAAGGATGTCCACTCTTACTATGATGCAGCTCCTGCATCAAGCATCTGCCCCCTGGTGGGGGCAAGATAAGGAACAAGATAAGGATGTCCACTCTTACTATTCATATTTAGCATAGTACTAGAAGGCCTAGCCAGAGCAAAAAGGCAAGAAAACAAAATAAAAGTATCCAAATGGGGGAGGAAGAAAAATTGTCACTTTTTGTGAACAACATCATTTTGTGTATATAAAACCATAAAAACTCCACCAAAAACTATTAGAAACTATAAACACAGTCAAGTTATAGGATACAAATCAATGTGCAAAATCCATTGCCTTGCTGTATATTAACAACAAAATTTCAGAAAAGAAATGAAACAATTTATTTTGCAAATAAAACAATAAAATACCTAAGAATAAACTTAATAAAATATATGAAAGGCCTATATACTGAAAATTACAGAGCACTATTAAAAGAGGTTGAAAAAGACATAACAAAATGAAAAAAATATCCCATGTTCATGGATTAGAAGAATAAAGAGTTAAAATGGCCATATTATCCAAAGCAATATACAATAGTAATGCAATCTACTTCAAAGTCCCAATGTCATTTTTTTAAAGATGTAGGGCAAAAAATCATCAGATTTGTAGGGAGCCAAAAAGGACCCCAAATAGTCAAGGCAATCCTGAGAAAAAAGAACAAAGCTGGAGGTATTACACTACCTGACTTCAAATTATACTACAGAGCTATGATCATCAAAACAGGTTGGTTTTGGCAGGAAAATGAACACAAGGAACAATGGAACAGAATAGAGAGCCCAGCTATAAAATCACATGTAAATGGACAGGTAATTTTTCTATAAAGGAACCAGAAACACACAAGTAAAGATACTCTCTTCAATAAATGGTTCTGGGAAAACTGGAAAGCCACAGCAAGCAAACGAAACTGGATTATAGTTTGTCCCCATGTACAAACAATTAATTCAAAATGGATCAAAGAAAGACCTAAACATAAAACCTGAAACAATAAGTCACCAAACTTAGGCACCAAACTTATGGACCTTGGTTATAAAGAACATTTATGAACTTCATCCCAAAGGCAGGGGAAGTAAAGGTAAAAATAAATGAATGGGACTACATCAAACTCAAAAGCTTCTGCACAGCAAAAGAAATGGACAACAAAACAAAACAAAGAGACAGCCAATCAGATCGGATATGATCTTTGGAAACAGTAGCACCAACAATGGTTTAATTTCCAAAATATATAAAAGAACTCATAAAACTCAACACCAAACAAACAACCCAATCAAAAGTGAGCAGAGGACCTGAAAATACACCTCTCCCAAGAAGACTTACAAACAGCTAATAGGTATATGAAAAGATGTTCAATCTCACTAGCAATTTTGAGAAATACAAGTCCAAATTACAAGGATATACCACCTTACACCTATGAGAGTGGTCATTATAAGACAAGCAATAACAAGTGTTGGAGAGGTTGTGGGGAAAACGGGAACCCTCATTCACTGCTGGTTGGAATGTAGACTAGTACAACCACTATGCAGTCTGGCAATTCCTCAAAAAATTAAGAACATAGCTACCATATGACTCAGCAATCCCACTCCTGGGTATATACCCAAAAACTCAAAATCATGTATTTGCAAAGATATATACACCCCTATGTTCATTGCAGCATTATTCACAGTAGATAAGACATGGAAACAACCAAAATGTCCTGAGATAGAAGACTGGATAAGGAAGATGTGGTCCATATACACCAGTGGTTCTCACCCTTTCTAATGCCGTGACCCTTTAATACAGTTCCTCATGTTGTGGTGACCCCCAACCATAAAATTATTTTCGTTGCTACTTCATAACTGTAATTATGCTACTGTTAATGAATCGTAATGTAAATATCTGTGTATTTTATGGTTGGGGGTCACCACAACATGAGGAACTGTATTAAAGAGTCGCAGCATTAGAAAGGTTGAGAACCACTGATATGCACAGTGGAACACTACTCAGCCATAAGAAAGAGTGAAATACACCATTTACAGCAACATGAATGGACCTTTAGAACATTAGGCTAAATGAAGTAAATTAGTCAGAAAAAGCTAAGACCATATGATTTCACTCCTATGTGGGATATAAACTGGAAACTCATAAACACATAGCAGTGTGGTGGTTTCCAGAGGGAAGGGAAGTGGGGAGAAGGGGTCCTAACTTAAAGTGACAGGAGAAGATTTGGCTGGGTGGTGCACACAGTGCCAATATACACATCTTGTAGCATAGAAACCCACACCTGAAACCTGTATGATCAGGCGGTCTAATCTCACCCCTGTAAATACAATTTAAAAAAAATAAGTAAAAAACAAGCTTTTAAAGCAATATGTTTTCATTTCTATCATAAAATACTATACTATGAAGTTCTGAATACTTTTGGAGAAGAAACAATAAAGCTAAGATCCACATAATATTTTAGTATAAAAGAAACTCTGATACTAAAAAGTATAGTAAGTAAAACAGGAAAAAACAGAGATAATGTAGAAAGTCATATTGTTCCCCTGCCCGTAGCATCGGCCTCTAGTCTAGAGAGGAGAGTAAGGATCAAGTCCCAACCCCTCTTTTATCTTGTCTCTCAGCGTTCAGTAAAGCCAAGAAGGAGAAGTTGCAGGAAGAAACGTGGAGCTTTGAAAGGTGAGCTTCTGCCCTCACTCAGGCTGCCTGAGACTTTGCCTCCATCTACACTGTCCCTGCAGCCAGGCAGGTCCCAGCAGCAGAGCTGTCTCTCAGGAAGCAGAGCCTCGGTGGCTCCTGGAAGGAGGCAGAAGGCAGATGCTTCTCAGATCCTGTGCTGAGAATGAAGCCTCGGGGCCTGGACCTGGGTGCTTCCCTAGCAGGGGTCCCAGGAGGGCCCTGGGCTGTTGTGGACCAGCAGTGCCAGACTGGGAGCGGGACCCCAGGTCCAGCTGTGGGCGTGCTGTTTACCTTTGCTCAGATCCCTCCCTGGTGCCCTTGCCCTTTCTCCCCACAGGGACGTTGGGGGGTGGGGGGGGGCGCGCAGGGGGTAGTGGATGGAAACATCCACTTTGTAAATGACAAAGCACTACTGTGCTGAGTCTTGCCATCGCTGTCAGGGGTCATGTGGCCTTGACCCTGATGCTTGGGCTCCTGAGTCAGCTCTCCAGGGTGTCACTCTTAAAGGCCCATGGCACTCAGCCTCCTGTCCTGCTCCACCATGTGACCCAGTCTCCTGATTTCCAGCCTGCAGAGAGTGCCTGCAAGACCTGGAAAAGGCTCGGGGCCTAATTAATCTTCTCGGAAGGTAAAGAATCTTCCCCTTCTCTCCTGGTCCTCTTCCCTCCCTAACCTATGAATTCACCTTAGGCCTCCTGGCACTGACCTGGGAGGAGCCATGGGACAGGGTGTGGGGATGGCCCTGGGGTGAGGGACAGCAAGAGCACTGGGAAGTCAGTGTCAGGACCATGAAGGACCCTGGAGGCGCCCACCCCGTCCGGCCTGCCCGCCCGCCTGCTCCTGGCTGCAGCCTGTGCCTCCATCTCCTGCAGCCACCTGGGGAGGCCCCCTGAACAGGGCGGCTTTGGTCAGCGCTCCTGTAAAGACCCCTCTGGTGAGGTCTGCGAAGCTGCGCCTGCTGGAGCCAACGGGCCCTGCGGGGCGACTGTGGAAGATGCTGCTCCCACCATGTCCCCCTCGGCCTCTCTGGCTCCTGTGACTGAGTGCCCGTCCCCTCCGGCCTCCACCTTGTCACCAGGACCGACCACCTGCTCTGTCCCCCTTCATTCCCACTCACCCCCGAGTGCCTCTCGGACACCAGAGCCTTTTCTTTTGCTGGATGACCTTTCACCCCAGCCACTTGCACTTTCCTGTTCCCCTTCACTTCCCCCTGATTCAGGGGCCCACCCTCCACCTCCCACAGCCTCCTCTGCCTCACCACCACCAGCCTCCACTCTGACTCTTCCCCAGTGTGACTCAGTGGCACTGACACTGGGCCCCGTCCCGCAGAGCTCATGTGCACACACACCTCGGTCGGCTTCTCCCACCCCAGCCGTCTCAGGCGTTGGCCACTCAAGCGGTCCCATTTCAGCCCTGTCCTGGTGGCAGGCAGCTACCAAAACCTTGTGCCTCTCAGCTTCATCACAGTACAAGTCCCAGCAAGAGCGCCTGTCCCACCAACCAGCAAGACCACCTGTCCCATCACCCACCACCCGGCAAGAGCACCTGTGCCACCTGCCACCAGAGGCCTCGTTCCAGGAAGGCCCCACAGACAGACAGACAGAGGCTGATGAGCAGAGTCTCCTGGAGATACATATCACAAAGATAACCAATGTAAAGATTTTGAAAAAAAATGAAAAAGATACATTATATCCAAAACAAATGAAGCCAAACTACCACCTGCGCTCTCTGGGGAATACGTCGACATCACTGGGTGCTGAGCAGGACACCACCACCCCCCAACCCTTCTGGATCAGGAAGGATGAACAGGAACAAGTGCATAGGCCTCTGCAGCTCTGTCGCCAGCTTTTTTGGGGTCTCCCCTCACTGCACAGCGAATCCCTGGAGGCTACGGGCTGGACATCTAAGAGCTCTTCTACATTACAGCCTCCACCTTTCTCATTCAATAGCATCTCCAGTGCCTGCCCAGTTCAACTGCAGGCCACAGTCTCTCCACTGCTTTCCCACCCCCAGCCCATGCCTCCCTTGGCGTTCCCATCTCCACCCTTGCTTCCAACCGTCCCTCAATTACCACCCCCACCTCTGGCTCAGGTCCAGCCCCGATGCTCTCTACCAGCCCTACCACCTTCTTCTCCACCTCAGATTGGAAGCTGTGGAGTGTCATGCCCGACAGCCCGGAATGAGACACAATTTTTAATCTCAATTGAGATTCCACACCCAGAAAGGCCCTCGTTGCAGAAGCAAGTAGAAAGCGGGTGGGATTTATCCTCTGTAGTCAAAACGTCTCAGGAAGTCTTCAGTGTCTTCACTTCCAGCTGTCCCAAGGACAGCATCCTTCCTGAGAATTTTCCTATCAATCCTGAGCCCCGGAAGCAACTGGAGCCACATCTGCAAAACTGGCATATGCAACACAGCTGGGAGCTGTCCCCCAAAATCCAAGAACCTCCCAAACCAGGGCAACAGCAGAGCGAATTACCAGACACATGTCAGGCAGAGGACAAGCATGAGTCCTCACGGCCCTCTTCACACACAGGTGAAAGCAGCAACGACACACAGAACGTGGGGCTCCAGCTAAGGCACGTCACAGGGAAGATCTCAAAAGATCTCTCCAGAGGCTCAGAAAGCTACCTAGTGACGTTTCAGAGGGTAGACTCTGAGGAGTCAGAAAGTGACGTGATGCTTTTCAGAAGGGACTCCGGAAGTGATGTACTGAGGAACTTAGACAAAAATCTAGAAAACACGCTAAAAGGCCACTCGGTCAGCAAGTTGGGACAGAGGAGCAAGAGCCTGATGAGTGTGCATGGACGCTGGCTTGATGTCAGCCACTGTTCTGCCAAGGCTGACACTCACATGGAAACCAAAAATCTGGGGATTTTAAAGGATTGGGAACCCTGCATGAATGCCTCTCATGGGGTGCTCTTTCTCGATACTGACGTTCAAAAGGTGCTAGAAGCACATATTACAAAGTTTTGGGTGAAGCACAGGTGGGGCCTGCCCCTCAAGGTCCTCAAGCCCATGCATCTCATTAAGTTGAAAAGGGCTCAGACCTCGCCCATTCCACACTCATCTACCTGTGTATCTGGGGCCTTCTCAATAGTCAAATTTGTTGAGTTCCCGGGAAAACCATCTCAGGCCTGTCCAGTAGAGAAAATGAAAACAGACGACTCGGTTCCCACCCTGGCAAGGTCTCTCCTTGCCCCCTCACGTGTGTGTGAGGACATGCAGAGTGCTCTGGGAGGGACCCCACCTGGTGTTGGCCATGGCCCTTCAAAGGCCTCTCTGACTAGACAGGAGGGTAGGCCACCATCTCAGTCTGTCTCACTCACCTGGAAGAGTAAGACTATGGAGTGGGCTGAGCAGGATAGTCTAGATCTCAGTCCAGGTTCAGCCATGGCCAGGAATGATCCAAGAGGAAAGGGCAGGGGTGGGGTCTCACAAGAGGCCTTCAATGGGGTAGCAATGCAGGTGATGAACTTAATATCCCAATCTTTGAGGGCCAAAGAGGTCAAGGAGACAATGGAGGCCAGTGTGTCCCCTGCTCTTCAACCAGAGTTGGGAACCAATGTACAGACAATATCCCAAAACATCAATGCATATTTGAAGAGTGTAGAATCTCCAGGGACCAGTAATGACTCCCTAGTCCCTAGAACATCTTTTCTCCAAGAACGAGGAGAGCCATGCCTTAACAAAGAGGTCATTAATGAACTTAAGTCTAAAGTGCAGGTACCGTCAAAGAACCAACCTCAAGACAGTCCCACACACATGCCCCTTGCTGCAGACAAGGTGCACCATCGCCACTCCCAGAGAGTGCCCCCTGGAGTCAGGCCAGCGTCCCATGTGTTATGTGGCCTTAAGACACCCCAACGGAGCACCCAAGGGAAGCAGGAATCCAGAATATATATGCAGGACTCGTGGAAGAACCAAAGACAAATGTTCACCTCTACCTACAAGAGAGAGGACATTCCAGGAAAGCATGCAGAAGGGCCAGAAGAATTGGGGACCTTTCAAGCCATGCAAATGAGCCCCTCAGCCAAGGCTAGTGAAACAGTAGACTCTGTTGAGAGGCAATACCCTTATCTGGGGCCAGAGAAGAAACAGGGTCCTCCAGAAAGTTTCTTCAGACAAAGAATGAAGCTCTTTTTTCAGGGGATTTTCCCCAATAAAAAACCCAAAGGTCAGGATGCTCTGCTAGACTACAAACTCAATTCAGCTACCGTCCAGAACGAAGGACCAGGCAAAAGCATATCAGTTATGGGAAGCAAGATCCCTGAGGCTCAGACACTCATAACAACTGTAGGGCAGATTCTCGAGGAGAAAATTCACCAGGGACTTGGTACCACAGCACTAAATGAGCACAAACAGGAACCCAAAACCCCAGTGTGTAGGTATGTTTGCTACAGCAGGCTTCCTTTCTGCGAGAAAGGGGGAGCGATGAGTCACACAGCCTGCAGGCACCAGGCCAACTCCAATCAGAGTTGTTCCCCTAGGAAAGGGCAAGTCAGACACACAGAGTGCTTGAAAAGCAACAAATTCAATGATGAGCTCTTGGGCCTGAGTCGCCCCACATTCCTGGCCTCCAAGACATGTTTGTCTTCAGTGAGATCCTGCCAGCATGGGCCAAAGGGGCCAGGTGCCCTGGGCCACCATCAGCACTGCCCGAGGCACTGTCTTTTTCCAGTGGGTGTCTTGTCTGGTCGACCATAAGCATGTCTCCATGAAAAAAATCAGTCCATTTTCTCAGCACATTCATAATATTTAATTTTCCTCAATATATGTTTGTTTCCTCCTAAGAGTTGGTGCAGTGGCGTCTGTCTGTGGTGCTCAGTGTACACTTTGGCTTCTAGAAGGGAGGGGCATAGAGGGAGACTGACTGGCATTGTAAGCTTATCTAAAGTTCTTTCACTGTGTGTTTTCACAATATGTCAGTACATAGCAAAAACTCTAAAACAAGAAGAGAAAAGTCCAGAAAGACCCACCCCAGGATTTGGTTCAACCCAATTTCTCCTGCTTCCGCTCTACTTTGAACTTTATGCAGCTCTAGGGAACAGGTTTACAGGGAGATCACAGGCTGGGCATCCCACTCAGGCTCCAGAAAGTATCAGAGCAAAGTGGATGGAAGTGTGGGGGTGGGTGTAGTGGTGTGGAGGTTGCTGGGCCCTGAGTTCAGAAACACGCACTTGGTGGGAAATTAATAGCATCTGCCCTTAAGACCCCTTCTCTCCCTGATGAAGACTGCGGTGGAGATGGCCCTGTGAACCCCTCTGAGCTTAGCCTGGATAAAATACAGTCCCCCCTCCCCACCCCTGCCTGTCCCACTTAGAGCCCAGCGAGGAAGGCACTCTTCACTCCGCGTGGACAGAAGGCAGTGACAGGGAGTCTGCTGAGGGCTGAGTTCACCTCTGCCCCAGATGAGTGAGTGGCCATGGCCACGGGTCACCTGCCTTCCTCTGTGTAAATCCTAGGGAAGGAGTTCTGGCTGGACGGAATGGAGCGAGACTGTGTGGGGTTCCCATCTGACAGTCGGATATCAGGCGGAATGTGGGTAAAGAATGGAAAGGTTCTATCCAAGGAAGAAGGCAAAGTGGCACAGAGTGTTCATAACCGTGCAGTGACCGAGGAGCCCTGAGGTCCCACCGCCATCTACAGCCTGGGGGTGGGGGAAGGGCTGCACCCCAGGTCTTCACCTGCTCCCGCTCCCAGACCACAGACCTAAAGAAGCCACCTTTAGGGCCAAACGGGGGGAGTAATGTCCTCACAATAGTTAATAAGCCCGCACACCCTCACCTCCTGAATTCTAGAAAGGATGATTAAGGACACGTGGAAAGCCAGGACGAGGGAATTCGGATGTCACTCCCAGGATGGTAACCTTCACAGAAACACATGAACCGAGCCTGCTCCGGGGGAGAGATGGGGACTCAGAAGGCTGAGACCAGCTGCCATCACATAAGTCTTAAAGAGGCCATCAGACAGGACTGGGCACACGGGAAGGTGGAAGGGTCCTGCCCAGAATTGGGGCTGCAGCCCAGGAGGGGTGGGGTCTCTCTGTGCTCTGATCCTAGTGCAGCTGCCCCTCCCCGTCCCCAACCATGCCTGAAGCAGGAAGAGAGCAATTTCTCTGGAGTGACTGTGAGGATGGGTGCAGCAGTGACAGCTCAGCCAGGACCTGGGGGCAGGGAGACCCAGGGCAGAGAGTGCCTTGCACCCTCAGGAGCTCAGGACCTTGAGCCTGGCTGCTGCTGGGTGCTCCCAGGAGCACAGAGAGGTGGGTTCTTGGAGTGGGGGAAGCTGGACATGGGCCCCACGTTCCTATCAGAAGTGCCACAGACTGGGATGCTGGGTGAAATGAGAAACAGGAAGAGCAAGTCTCTCTGCCCATCTGCTGCTGCTCAGTCTTCCATAAGGTGCAGGAGGCCAACTATGGAGAGGCCCACACAGGGAACTCTCACACGGAGACACCTCCCAGCAGAGAGACAGAGACCTCACAGAGAGACCTCTCCACAGAGACCTCTCACGGAAGTGACATGCAGAGACACCTCCCAAAAGCAAGATACACAGACCTTAGAGACACTGTCCAACAGAGAGACACAGAGACGTCACAGAGACTCTCTCCCCAGAGACCTCTCTCACAAGATATTACAGAGATTCTCTCCAGAGACACTGCCCAACAGAGACGATCAAGATCTCAGAGACACCCCCAAAGGCAACACACAGAGATCTCAAAGATACCGCCCAACAGAGACCTCCCACGAGATGACTGGCAGACACTCTCCACAGAGACCTCACAGAGATATCTCCCAACAGACGCCTCTCCCAGACACTCTCCATACAGACCTCATACTAAAACCACACACAGATGTCACAGAGGCTTCCCAAATATCCCTCCAACACAGACCTCACCCAGAGACAATACAGGGGCCACCTGTGGCCTCAGAGATACCTCACAGAAAGACCTCACAGAGAGACTCCTGTAGAGACAGGACACAGACTCCCCCTGCCCCACAGAGTCTTGGCACAGACCTCACATCCATGTGCCAGGATTCTGAGCATCACCGTGTCCTTCCTAGGGCATATGAACCCCTTAGCGAACTGGCAGCACCAAAGAAGTATCAGCTGGGCCCCCTTGAGGTCCTGGAGACACTGTTAGCATTACACTAAGTGGGGGTATCTGCTTGGGGGAATGCTTGGGAATTTTTGTTCTAGTATCATCACCTCTGAACACGAAATTACAAATTCCCCATGTAGATTTGTAAAATTCATTGTTCCACAGGTTCCATTAGGTGGAGAATTGCAATTTTAAAAACAACTAAAACATTGTCAGTCTCCAATGAGAGAGAATATCTTTCGTCCGGTTTCAGTTACTGTCAGGCCAGATGCTGTCACTGTCACATTTTTACTTTGTCAGGAACAAGACCTGAACTTGACGTGACTTGTTTACTTTGGGACACCATTATAGTGCGCAAATGATAGACTCCAAGAATGAAAGAAACCAGGAACGAGTCCTTTGGACTTCTCACTCACCTCCCAGGAGGTTAGCTTGCTAGCCCAGCATCTTGCACATTAACAGCTTGCACCAAATTGGTGGTGGTGGTGGTTTTATTTTTTAACAAACTAACAGTCATGAGCATTTTTTCACAAGTCATATTCCTGGCAATATTCTTATAGCATCTGGAAAATTATACTTGTTAAATATATTATTCTTTAAAATGTAGCAATGCCCTCAGAAAATATTATTGCACATGTTCCAGGAAATTATAGACCTAAAATTTAGCGAACATACTTAAAAAGATGATCTATTGTGATTTTATTTTCAAATAGTTCTATGAAATGTGCATCTTCTAATACAGCATTCATTGTGTAACAATTAAAGAGCTGAAAGGATGCATGGTTAAAACAATGTTGAAATATTATAAAACATATCACTGAAGCCACGCAGAGACACCTATGGCCTCATGCAGGTACTGAGAAAGGGCTGCTTACCCTCTGAACAGAAGGCAGTGTCATTCCATCCATCTTTGTATTATAAGAAATAATAACAGGCCTCTCATATGTATCCAGCACTTTCCAAAGGGTGCACTCTGAGAGACTCCATACTTCTCACTGCTAACAGGCAGCCAGGTGCCCTGGCCTTGGTAAAACCTCTTTTAATGTCAGGTGTGGATCACTGGGTAAGTCTCCCAGAGGCTCCATCGGGAGGACAGCCTCAGGCCTTTAAGGGGAGCAGGGCTGACACCAGGGGGGTTTTGGCCTATTTATTTCAATCAAAAGTCATCCTGCCCTCGGTTCCCCATAATTAACAAATGTATAACTATCAATTTTTCTACTCCCGTAAGTCACTGAATCATAAAATGATGGAATATGGTCATGGCATCGGCTAACATTCCACCGGATCTTTTTTACAGTGCAACATATGCTGGTTTAGTTTATTAATCAGAACAAAATGGGATCAACTGGGGAAAAGTTCATAGAGGGAAAATACCTTTTTCAAGTTGACTATCTTAATGGGGTTCAAATAAGTGATTATTCTTTCATCGTTTGAATTAAAGGTAAGAATGAAAGATATAGAGAGACAAATGAGAATGATAATACAACATATCTAAACCTCTGGGATTCAGTGAAAGAAGTAATAAAAAGGAATTTTATCTCATTACAGGCCTATCTCAAGAAACAATAGAAATCCCACATAAACAACCTAACATGACATCTTAAAGAACTAGAAAAAAAAAAAAAAGAAAGGAAATAATAAAAATTAGAGTAGAATTAAATAAAATAGAGAACAGAAAAGACTATACAAAAAAAAAAGAGCTGGTCCTTTGAAAAAATTAATAAAATTAATAAACACCTGACTAGACTCACTAAAGAAAAAAGGAGAAAAACCCATATAAACAAAATCAGAAAGGAGAGAGAAGTCACCACAGACATCACAGATACACAAAGAAAAATACTGGAATATTATGAAAGAGTAAATGCCACCAAATTTAATAACCTAGAAAACATGAATAAGTTCCTAGAAGTATATAACCTTTCCAGACAAAATCATGAATTAGAAAACCTAAATACTAGTATACTTGCTGCTCCATCAAGCCTCGAGCGTTAGTGAGGGAAGGCAGACATTGCCCTGCCTTTAGGGAGAAAGGAAGTTCACAGACAATGTGAACAGAGGACAACTGTGGGTGGTATGGGAGCAGGTGAGAAGGACATCCAACCTGGAGGGGAAGCAAGGGAGGAAGGGTGTTGTCAGAAAAGACTTGTTAAAGAGATGATGACTGAACAGGGGCTTGAAAGTTGAACTGGAGGGGACCAGGCGCAGTGTAGGGAATGGTAGCACAAAAGTCAGTAAATGGCATAGAGGGTGGCACGTGCACCTGCTGGGCGGGTCTAAAGAGAGAGGAGGAAAAAGAGGATTCAGTTATGCAGTGCCTTGTTATGATGGCCATTTATGCCAAGCCAAAGAGTCTGCATCCTTTGGCCACTGGTACCCATTCCTCCCTGGCTTTGGGAGGAGTTATCTTACCTTGTGTGCAGTCTTGGTGGGATTCTTAATTTAGAGCCAGAACTATCAGGCAGTGGGCAGAGATCTCTGCTAACCCAGCAGATGGATGGGCAGTTGACTCAAGCTAAGCCAATTGAGATATCACCAAGTGTGAGAGGGAAAGTAGATAAGGAGAATATGGAAACATCTTCATTAGAGAGGAAGTGATGGGGTT